CATTTATTTGACTGATGATTCGATTTCTGAGTGTCCTTTTCTAATATTGTCATAAAGAAGATAAAACTAACTAAACACATTTTTAAAATTTTCATACTAGTATTATAAAATGAAGACCTCTTTAACCGCTTCAATCATTTGATGGTAAACCTTTTTGTATATTTATTATGTCTTTTTCTATTGTTATGCGATCTGTTCTTCAATTTGTTAAATGCTTGTAATTACAGTATGCCTATGAAAGCTAGTTTTCGTACCCTATTCTTTGGTATTAGATCGAATTTTTTCTTAGCAGTCGTAGTATTTCTCTAATTTGTGCTATTCATTCTTCAAATATAAGTGGATTTATAACATGTTTCTTGTGTTGAACACGCAGATGTGTGCAATGGAAGTGAAACAGTAAACGAGCACAGAGATCTTAATATCACGTCATAGCTGGACGTAATTAATAGAATAGTTGAAATTTTCGTTAGGAGGACTCTAAGTTGAAGTTATATTATAAAATCATAATAAATCATCTGATGAATAATGTATTTTCATAATATATTGATGATACATATTTCATGGGATGTTCATATTTTAAATGGGAGAAAAAAAATAGATTTAATGTTCATCTGAAATAGATTCTTTGAAGCGAGGGTAAAATCGAAAAGTTGTTACCTATGGAAAGGAAGAATGAAATTCTTAGTTTACAAAAAAAAGCGTGGATGGAATGAAGTAAAGAAATTAAAATGTTTTGGATTGAACAAAAATCCCAAAATTTCGCTTGATACATTTTATACTTAAAATAAAAAGTTAAAAATCAGGATTTCGAGAAAACTATATAGAATATGGAAAACTATAGAATATATATTTAGCCATCATCTACCGTCCTGTAATACTTTTCATTTGCAAAATAAAATTTTTAACTCGAAGCACTCAGGATGCGCAGACAATCAGAGATCTCACATTATTTTACGTATGAATAATGGTTTATTTATTGACCTGCAGGGCTCAAAAAATCTCATAACTTTTAAAGTTTGTACCCAAACTAAACTTTTACATGCCAAAATATTTTTTCGAATGTTTATTAATTCAAACGTAAGTTCTATTAACCAGTTGAAAAATTTAAATTTTAAATCTCTATTTCTATTTTAATTTATAAATGTATATTTTAACTATCGATTTTTGAATATTTTTGAAATTCAAATGTTCATTTAAAAAAATTGATAATTTTTGTTGACGGTTTCATGATTTTTTAAATTAAAATAATCCACTTAAACTAAAATAATCCATTTTATTTTAAGATTTAAAATATTTTATGCATTGTGTTTCAAAGCTTCTTTGACAGGCAATGGAGTTTTCATATTATTTATGACTCAAAATTTCTCTTTTAATTTTTGCAGATTTGAAAAACTGTGTTAACTGTGAACTGTTAGGCTATCAGGAAAACTCAATACACCAGGACCATACTCACATGTTGATGAAAACTGTGGTTACGAAGCTACAGGAGGTGGGCAAAATAATGATAACATCTCTATACTAAGACATTTGTTCTCTAGAAAGGCCAAACGAATTATTGTATAACTTCAGAAGTGTTTAGATAATGCTCATACATATCAATGATGTTTAAAGCATTTAGACTTTTGAGGCATCGACTATAAAGTACAAACGGAAAATAATATTTTGAACACCCTTTGCCAAAAATGAAGCAATAAATTTCCAACTTGTGACAGTAATTTTGTTTACTATATGCAATAATTGCACAAAAGTTCGTAAACCTAGCTTAAATATTAATGGAGACGTTTTTATAAAAAAAAAATGCTATAACTTCGAAAAATTCAATAAAATTCAATAAAATTTCTAGAACAATTTAAAATAAATTTCAAAATTCTTGCTTTAAAATTTGAGAAAAATTCGTTTAAAACCACGCAAGATATGAATAATCAAAATAGTTTTTTTATACTGAGCATGCTAGAGAAAAATTAAAATATCTCTTTTCTTAATTTTGTAGTGAATCATATTTGGCAATTAATAAAAAATGTCCGATTTGAATATCTTAGAAATTTAAAAGGTTTCGAGCAATTTTCTCCCATTTCTAATTGTTTTATTCTAGTTTCCATAACAGCAGATAACACTAGAAATTCAATAGAGAAGAGTTCTCGTGATAGTTGGACATTTACTGCAATTCCATTACAACCATCTTTATTGTTTGGTAGCGATATAAAAAACGAAATTTTAACGATGAAATGTATATTCTTAAATTGCTTTTTAGTTGCTACTTCAAACTATTTTTATTCATTGTTTCAAATATTAGCAGATATTATGCCGCTTATTAAGAAGCTTATAACATACATTAATTGCCACTTTCAATTTGCCTTCTTTTTTATAACCAATCAGAAACTTAATCGAACAAATAAGACCACAAGGCTAGTGTGACAGCTAGTAGTAGATTTATTATGGACATGCCACTATTTAGTTAATTGTGTTACGATTGTGGATTAGTTACTAACTCGATTATTTATTTATTAAATTAGATTTATTTTGTAAAATATTTAATTTATTTACACATTTTCCCATTTTCAGCTTTTATTTAATAAATTCGATTAAGTTTTGTTCAATAGAAAAATTTAAAAACATTAATACTTTTACACATTTTAATTTTTTTAATTAAAAATATTGATAACCCATGGAACTTCAATATTTTAGATAGCAATTGCAAATGTGTATTACAAAAATTACTTGAATCTATTGGCAGAAATTAGATATTAGTTTGTCAAACTACCTTAAAAACTGAAAACTAAATTCAATCCAACTGATATCTTTTCTGTTATATGAAGTTTAAAAATTGACATTTATTGTAGTTTCTTTCATTTGAAAGCTTTTTTCTCAGATTATTAGAATATAATGCAGGTTTTGATTATAAAATAATATTTATTAGGCCTTAACATTAATTAAAATGAACATGGTCAAGACTAATTATTCACTACTTATTTTTAGGCTAAAATTAGGTTTATATGTTGTTGTTGCTTATCCTCACTGTCTGACGGAGTCAGACAAGATCCACGAGTTCGTTGACTGAAAGGAAGTCGAAGACTAGGAGAGGATTGCTAAAGAGATCCTCCTTAGAGAGTCCCATGCAATCCAAGAGGTGCTCAGGAGAAGCCTGATGAATTTGGCACTTGGTGCAGGTGACGAAGGTTTTCCTGCCCTCGTTGAAAGTGAGGCACTTGATGTGACAGCTGGCAAGCCTTGTTAGAACAGTCCGGGTACGTCTGTCACACGGTAGGTCAAGGGACAAACCCGGTTTTGATCCCTTGTACCAATTATGGGTTGAGGGTATTTTCCACTCCTCCGAGATTTTTGATTTTTCCAGAGAATATAACTCCAAAAAAGTAAGTGTGGAAGGGGGAGTTGTTGTAATCCTGCAATCCTCCTTAGCAAGAATATCGGCCATTTCATTCCCGTGGAGATTCACATGGGAAGGTACCCATTGCAAATGAACATCATGATTAAGTGAAATGAGCTTTAATTTAAGCTGATCCTGTCGCCCACAAGAGGCAAATTACTAAGATGGTGGAGAGAACTACGGCTGTCAGACAAGATCCATAGGTCACCATAAGCCTTTTCGGATAGAATAGCTTCTAGTCCCAGGTCTATTGTAATCAATTCACTTCTGAAGACAGAGCAATGATTAGGATTACGATGAGAAAGAGTCAAATTAGCATGAAGGGTTTCGATATAAATGCCACTGCCAGCAAGATTGTCAATTTTACTACCAACAGTAAATATTTTTGTGGCATCGTTAGGAATGTGGCTCAGGTTTTCCAAGGTCAGTTGTCTAAGATGCTCTGGGATGTAGTCTTTCTTGTTAATATGGGAATTTAAGTTAAAGTGAACTCTGAGGAATCCTTCTGCTGGATTTAAGCAGCATTGTAGTGAGTTGGGTTCAACATTACTATTAGGTAGTTGAAGAGAGGCTGCCAGACTGAAAGGGCTGTTCCTCTTTAATCTTTGATGATTACTCTAGCTATTAAGATACATGGAGGTCTTGTTGCAGCTGCCATAACTGGAGAGTTTATAATAGTATTTAACAAGACCAGCTTGTCTTCTAGTATGGAGCGGCTGCAAGTCAGTTTATATTGTTTTCGCTTTCTTTTTCATAAAAATCAGTAGATTAAATAATCAATTTCATTACTTGTCTGAACTCAACCCATATCATGGATCTAGTGGGAACAGAAGTTGTAATATCATTTAAAATGAGGATAAGCATTCCAAATTGTCATGACTACATTCGAAATTGTCATGAAACATTGTCAAGACTAGTTATTCACTTACGTATTTTCAGGCTAAAATTAGGTCGATATTGTTTACGCTTTCCTTTTCATAAATAGAAATAGATTAAATAATAAATTTTGTGACTTGCCTTAACTCATTCTATATCATGGAACTAGTGGGAGCAGAAGTATCTATCATTCAAAATGAAAATATACATTCAAAATTAAAAGAAAAAATTAGATATGTTCAAAATTTTACTTCGTTATTTTTTGTGGCAAAGTTTTATTTTACTTTATAACCGTTTTTGAACAACCGACAAAATTTTTGGGTTTACTACTACTAATGTTCAACAACTTAGTTTTGTAATTTTGAACCCAATCCAGAAGACAAGAGAATTCCTGGATCAAGTATTGGGTGAAATTTGCCTTCGTGGAGGACTTTTACATGGAACTAACCCGTATTTACGTTACACAGAGAGGAAGATCGCGAGAACCTCCCGCGGTTAGCCTGACGGCAAGGGGACTTTAACCTATGATCCGTCTACCACTGAGGATATTTCACCTCAGCACTGTGGTTCGTGCAAGCCGGATGTGGAATTCGTATCGACCAGCCATCGTCGGGATTCCAATCCGGGTCACCTCTTTGGAAGGCGAACGCTCCATCCTCTGACCAATCGCGGCTCTTTGTGGCTACATATAAAGTGTCTACACATAAGTGTCTGTTATAAGAAAAAATGAAATACTTACTTTCTTTTGTTTATATTTGATTGCAAGCTTGAGCCGGCTGAGATGCATACGGTCTCCATGTTCAAAAGCGGGTCCCGTAGGATCATAATTGAGCATTGCTTCTAACTCATATGAACTACGTGTATGGTCCAATAAAGCAGTTGCAAAATTCTGACATTGACGTCGAAGCTCCTATTTAACAAAAAAATACATGCGATAAGTTTACATAAAAGTATTATGCTCTAAATGATATGATAATCATTTAGAATTTAAGACAAAAACTTACTTCCTCTAAATAAAATTTAGGGTTGGTCAAAATTGCTTTAAATCTTTTGTGATTGTTCGGAAAAGTTGCTATATACTATTCTTAAATAGCATGTAAAATTTTATAATACTGATTCATTTAACCTTTGTGGGCAAAAATTAGAGAAAATTTGACTAAAAATGCTTAAAATTCTAAAAATAATAGTTTTGTATGATCTCGCGATAACACTTAGATGTTATAAATTCTAAGTAAGAATATCTGTAAAAAAGTTTAAAATTGCAATTTAATATTTTCTACTACTTCAACGGCACCAGAGTTTGGATTCATTCATTATTAAAACAGCAGATTTGTGATTTTTTAATATCTTCAGTCGACTCAATGGATAAATCAAAATTTCGTTGAGGTTGTAAAAGGTATTAAGTTAAAATTTTGCACTTTCTTTACAGATCTTCTTATTAAAAAATGGTAACCTTTTAGAGGTAAGGAAATAATTTTTGATTCCGAATTGATTCCGAAAGAAGCTATACTGTTTCACGATACTCTGCTCAACAATTTAAAATAGTTCCACTTTTTCAACTCTCCGTAACAAACATATATATTTTTCAGCAAACATATATATTTATTGAAGGAAGGAGGTAGATACAGTCTGGAAAATGTGGTGTTAATAGGGAGGAAAATTTATGCTTATATATATATATGTGATAGTTGGACATTTACTGCAATTCCATTACAACCATCTTTATTGTTTGGTAGCGATATAAAAAACGAAATTTTAACGATGAAATGTATATTCTTAAATTGCTTTTTAGTTGCTACTTCAAACTATTTTTATTCATTGTTTCAAATATTAGCAGATATTATGCCGCTTATTAAGAAGCTTATAACATACATTAATTGCCACTTTCAATTTGCCTTCTTTTTTATAACCAATCAGAAACTTAATCGAACAAATAAGACCACAAGGCTAGTGTGACAGCTAGTAGTAGATTTATTATGGACATGCCACTATTTAGTTAATTGTGTTACGATTGTGGATTAGTTACTAACTCGATTATTTATTTATTAAATTAGATTTATTTTGTAAAATATTTAATTTATTTACACATTTTCCCATTTTCAGCTTTTATTTAATAAATTCGATTAAGTTTTGTTCAATAGAAAAATTTAAAAACATTAATACTTTTACACATTTTAATTTTTTTAATTAAAAATATTGATAACCCATGGAACTTCAATATTTTAGATAGCAATTGCAAATGTGTATTACAAAAATTACTTGAATCTATTGGCAGAAATTAGATATTAGTTTGTCAAACTACCTTAAAAACTGAAAACTAAATTCAATCCAACTGATATCTTTTCTGTTATATGAAGTTTAAAAATTGACATTTATTGTAGTTTCTTTCATTTGAAAGCTTTTTTCTCAGATTATTAGAATATAATGCAGGTTTTGATTATAAAATAATATTTATTAGGCCTTAACATTAATTAAAATGAACATGGTCAAGACTAATTATTCACTACTTATTTTTAGGCTAAAATTAGGTTTATATGTTGTTGTTGCTTATCCTCACTGTCTGACGGAGTCAGACAAGATCCACGAGTTCGTTGACTGAAAGGAAGTCGAAGACTAGGAGAGGATTGCTAAAGAGATCCTCCTTAGAGAGTCCCATGCAATCCAAGAGGTGCTCAGGAGAAGCCTGATGAATTTGGCACTTGGTGCAGGTGACGAAGGTTTTCCTGCCCTCGTTGAAAGTGAGGCACTTGATGTGACC